CGAAAGTGTTTTCAACGCTTTTTGTGCATTAAGAAACAAAGAAAATTGCTAATGGGTATTCTCTTTGTTTGTGTTAGTAAGAAAAGTGCTGCAATCATTTCCTCTCGCAAATTAGCTTCCTTCGTTTAACGCTGACTCAACGATGAGTTACAGGGTACAAATTTTGTTGCTGTTTCGAAATCTCACCTTTCCTGAAGAGCCATAATTAGAAATTCAATAAATCTCGCATGCTCTTAGCACTCTTCAATATGTTATCTCGGCATTGACATGTCAAGTGCCACCGTATCCATCGCATACTGTAGTATTCTCACTAATCCGTCGCACCTGCCCAGTAATATGCAAATTTATTGCCTAATAAGGATCTCACACCAGCATCTCCACCAAACAAGAAGGTGTGAAGTGCAGTTCTCTTCATGTGAAATTAGCCGTTGGCAAAGCTAAACACATCGAGGTGGAGAATGAGGACAATAGGAGGAGACATCACGCTGGCCTATTGACACCATAAGCAGATTGGCAGCTAAGTGAGAGAATGAGCGCTAAGAGTCAGACCTGAGACGTGTGGGAAAGTCTGTTTTTTAGAGACGTTTGAACTTTTGGTAAAAGTAGCAACTCTCAGCAAGTTTGAAATATAAATGCAAGAGTTGGTGGAGTGTTTGTTTCAGATTGAGCGATTTAGTTGTGGAGTATCAAGCCTAGGAAGGATTCGCTTTTACCAGCTTCCACTTGACTTCAAAAGCCCTGTTCCTGTCAAGTGTGTTTGAACAGTGAAAATCTCTGCAAATCGCTTTTGAATTATCCTGATGTAGCTAGCTTTTGTTAGATAATAGTCTGAAAATGTACTCAAATCGCCATGGAAACGTAAAATGTAGAGAAACCCTAGAATTCCTTGTGCAGATTCCGTCTGGTTCTCCGTTCTGCAAATCCGCAGCTAGCTGATCCATACTTGATGAATTTTCTAATTTTTTAGCTACTTTAACCGTGGTCTTCTTTTATGATACGACAGTTCTTACGTTCATCAAATTCGTCAGGTCGTGAGATATATTCTCGAGTTCTTTGTAACTTTATATGTGAGTCTGCAGACTATGCTCTAGAACCGATGTCTGCCTTACTAATGACTTCTCAGCAAGACCAACGTGAAGTTTAGAAGAGTGTATAATTAATAAATATGCAGTAGAAGCAAAATAGGCAAGGAGATAAGGAACACTTAATGGAAATGAACAATTTCAAGTCTTGAAGTTTGTCAAGTAGTTCGGTGTGCAGCACGCGTATTAAGTTAAAGATGACTCGATGTGTATTTAAAGACGATTGTCGCGACCAATTTTGTCAGATGCCAGTTTGAGTTTTTCACATTTATTCCTTTTCACTTGCCCTTCACTGATGCACTAGGGAAAGGAAGATACCGGAAAGACCGACTATCTACATGCTTTACAGGCTCACTTATAATTCAACTGCCCAAAGAAGGTTGAGATCACAGACTTTTTATGATCTCCTTACAACAAGAAGGAGGGATTTAAAGACTTGCTTTTTCAGAGCTGTATAATGGTGAAATTAGAGTAGACATACCCATGTTAATTTTTCAATGATGCTTTTTTTTAATTTTTTAATTTTTTTCGCGAAATGCAATTGTCAAAAATTTCTGTGACTAGTCTGACCTCAATTTCTGTACTGCATCTACGATATGGAAATCATTGAATAGACAAGTAGGAACTAATCACTTCAAAAAATTAGAATGGAATGAGCTTACATAAATCCACAAGGTTTCCTCTGTTTTGCATTTTCTAGAAGGACAAGCTTAAACAGTAATTACTGCTGCTATTAAGAGTCACTGTGCAGAACACCTGTTTTCCCAGTCACTGTCAAGTGTTACTCAACAAATGTCAAAATTGTTAAAGTTAATGAGCACGGCCCATCCATACTACAGGTGTTGAATAGCATGCTGTGCAATCCCACATCATCACTTCTATTACACCATAACAAAGGGAGCAGTGAGTAAACAACCCAGCTAATGACTGTACAAAGACAAAAAAAACTTTTTTTCAAAGCACAAACGCTCCCAAATGACATTGGCAGACCATTAGCGCCCTAAAGGGTTTCTTCTCGGCAAAATCGTTTCTCAACGGATGAGTCGGGTGACAAATCGAATTAGCCTAACTGTCCTCGTTGATTTAGGTGAAAATGCTAAAGGGGCTCGCGCGAGCGGTTGCAGATTCTCTTCGCTCACCTATTCACAAGTGCAAACGAATCAGCCGTCGAGGGATGTGCTTCTGCATGGATTAAGCCACTTCAGAGTTTTTACCCAGATCTTAGACCCGTCTGGGAATATCCCGAAGTTTCATGGCGAGATAAGCGCTACTAGTCGTGAACAGATCTGACAATAAGCTTTCTTTCCGCAAACTTCAGCTTCTGGCTTTTATTTCAGGGTTCTTCTTAAACCAAAACTTTCTTCACTTAGTTCAAATTCTGACCTTTATCTTGGGGTTCAAAGTTATTTTTTTGTGAACAACAAAGCTGAAAATAGCATTGTTCTTATAGAGTTTTTCCGCAAGATTTGAAACCAAACCTTGGTTTGCTTTTCGATAAACGAACAAATTCCTAGAAACCTTTTTCTATAATTTTCCTGAATCTTGAATTCTGACCGCTATCTTGATTTTTTGTAAGGTGTACATACCTCTTATGCCGAAGGAGAAATTGAAAATAGCAGCTTTTTTCGTTTTTTCTTAGAGCTTTATCTTTTCTTGAAAGCATGAGGGCGAACTTAGAGGGAGCACTTCAATGTGGATGAACCTTGCACATCTTTCCTCAATCCATGAAAAGCATGCACATATCAAATCAAATGGTTTCATTGGCCCTTTTATGGGTCTTCTCTTTGATGCGGTCTAATTCTTTTTGATAGATTGTTGTTATTATTGCTTGTAATTTATTGCCAAATCTTCTTTTTCGAAAAGCTTCCGAATTTTTCCGCAATGATCGCTAATCCACAATTTTCTGGCTTCTTCCAAAAATGGCTATATTCTGCTTGATGAAATTATCATAGTAATTATCTCTTCTTCGCAATAGCCCTATTTTGATTCAGAGTATTCTCAGGCAGAAATAAAAATAAAAAGAGTGAAAAACTACCGGAAAAAACTCCTGCAATTTTTGTTGGGACGAAGCTGCATGAAAGCCATCAACAATTAGATTATATTACTAGTATGCTATTTATTATCTGAGGTAATCCGCCAATCCAGAACACAATGATATTTGCAGGAATTCTATTTTCACGTAGGATGATAAAGCCGTTGATAATCACTTAGCCACTTTGTATAAACAAGGCGATCAGTCTCAGGTCGTAATGCTAGCGGCTATCAAACCCTGGCTTCACCTAATCGTATAGTAGCAGATAAAACATTTCATTATAACTTTCTATAGAGTTTGAGATGGTCCAAAAGATGCAAAATCACAATAGGTTCGGAAATACCTCACCAATTACTTTGGAGAACTAACAGGCAGAAGCAAGCAAATTTTCATTTGATTTCAAATTTAATTCTTGGTAAGGTTCCCAGAAATTTTTTTCTGTGAAATTACGTCACATTGCTCAATTAATTTTTCAAAATAAACCGTAATTCTCACCTGCAAATTGATCCCCCTCCAACCTCATACCTTTTGAGACAGAGCGCAAAACTGACTGCACATTTCTTATTTCTAAAGACTAATATTCAACGCTACCACTATATAGCTGTTGTACAATGCAACGTTCTCCGTTTGTAATTAGTACATATTACTTAATGTGCAGTACATGCATTAAAAAATAGTATGCAAATGTATTGAGCAGGTGAATAGACTTAATTGCGTTAGCTGTTGCAATAATACAGGTGTATGACACCTCAGCATGTACCTACTGAGGAGTAGTTCTTATAGTCAGTCGAGTTACAATCGTTTTGCTTCTGCAGGATTTTTTTTGCAACATTTCAGAAATAAAGAACTGCAAATTTCATCTTATATGAAGTTTTCATCGTTGTCAACTCGTTAACGAGCAAGTCCTGGCCGCCTCATGTATCTGATGGTGCCAGGAAACCTCAAAAATAAGTCCTTGGAGATTCACCTCATAAGATTCACATACTCGATAAAGTTGTCCGGTGCGCTTGGTAGAGTATCATCATACAAATAAATAAGAATAGTTCCAACTTTGACGCCATGACAAGATAAATAACATTCTGTTTCCCGGCCCTTCGAGTTCTACCTGGAGAGTTCAAGATGAGTGCGTTTGGATCTTCAGAAAGTCATTTATATCTCTGCCATAGATATCTTACTTTATATTCTATCAAATTACGAATGTCAGCTCCTAAAGAAAGGACAATGGAAGTCAATTTCTTCATATCAAAACCAACCATGCATCCTTCCAGATGGCTATTTTCTTCAAAAGGCTCCTGTCGTAAAGCCGGTTACGTTGAACGGTACTGTGAGGTTTGGTTGGTCTCTAGAAATTCTTGTTCATAACCCTTATCTGATAGAGTTCATCTAATACCTTACATGACACGTGCCCAAGCCCGTCTCTCTAGCTCTAGGATATATACCTGCAGCAAAGGATTAACATACAAACGATGCTAGCAGCTCGTAAAAATGTCAAGTACTTTATTCGTGGATAATCGCATGCAAATCGGGGGCTAGCCACTCGACCCCGCCCTCTCGATGACAGCGGCCACGGGGGCGCAAGGAGAGGCGGGCTCGTTAGCGGTCAGTGAGTCGTCGAGGTGGGGGCTCTGACAGTAGCACCCGTGAACCTGAACGTTTTCCTGGGGGTTTTTGAGGGGTTCAACTTTTTGGTAGCTCCCCTCTCCCCGGGGTGGAGGGAGAGGGGAGCTACCGTCTACTTTTTCCCTTGCCACACCTACCAAGATTTTCCCACCCTTTTATTTCGTTGTCATAACTCTACGCTATCGCTGCTCTTTCTTCTCACTTTTGGTCGTTTCCAGCTACCATTAAACTATTGCAATTTATACAAACCTCATTTTAGACCCGCCATGCTGCTGCTGGTGCTATATTATCTCATCAGCTCATCTGAAGCGAAGAAGTTACCAGATGTCTACTGGAATTCAACAAATTCTTTGTAAGTTCTAAAATAATTTTAAGCCTTACCTAATCTTTTGTCTCCCAATTACCATATCCTGAAGGTGACTAGTATGCCTTTCACAAGCATCTTCATCCGGGAATCTAATTAAGTTTTTAATTGCATCCCATTAATATATGCCCGTACTGGCATCCTTTTGATTGAGGTTTGTTTGGAGAAAATAATTGCACGCACTTCTTTCAGCGGTTTGGATCGAGAGCTATGAATAAACAAACAGAGCGTATCGCTGCTATCTTTGGTAATCAGCGGGTGTGGAAATAGGGGCAATCAACAGATTTGAACAGACAGACTTACCCCGGAGGGCAAGCGTTAGGCGACAAAACGTGCAAAACGCAAGCAACGTAAATTCCGTAACTTAAAACTACGCACCATTTTTTCATTGGCGTCGGGTAAGGTATCGGCCCCGACCCCCACCCCCCTGTTTTTGGCGGGGGAGACGTTTTGCACGGGAAGTTCTTTGGGGTCCAAAAAATTGGGTTTGTCGCCTAACGCCCTACACCCGACTTACCCCCAAGCACACCCCGACTAAAAGGACAGCCACCATCATTTTTGAGAAAGTTATTAAAACCATAAAAACTTCAATTTTTTATGATTGTATTTGCTTAAGGTTCGCAAAGTCTCAAAATATTTCTTTTGTAAAAATTATGATTTTTCAAGGTTTGTGGGAGTTTACCGAGCTGCTCTTTAGACTAAAGATCCAAAATCGAACACTATTTTTATTATACATAAACGAAATTTTTTACAAATTGACTATCCTAACACTAATACCGAAAAAATTGGTCGTATGAGTCCCAGTTATTCTTAACTCTTAGAACGATAATTTTGATTTCTAGCCCCTTCCAGGACTGTCAGTAAGGAAAGCCGGCCTAAAATTATTTAGAAGAAAATTTCAAAAAATGTAACTTCTCGCTTTACCTGCTCCAGCTCTATTGTCTCCGTGACTATTTCCATTTCACGATTTTTATTTATGTTGACAAATTATATGCTAACAGTTATGATAAGAAAGATATAACTCCAACTTTCATATAGCTCTTTCTTATATTTCAAATTATCATAGGTACCTATAAATGTTGTTTTTTTATTTGGTTAAAATTTTGCAAATCTAGAGAAATTGTCACTAAGTTCCCAATTTTTGTGACATAACGTTTTTCCACCAGGTGAAATTTCTCTTTTCTTCCTTATTTCCTTCTTCCATTTGGTGCCGGTTACCAGTGTTTTGTGGTTTTTGAAGGAATTCTTTTTCTTGCTCTCTTTTCATTCTGCCCTTCAATTTTCGAGACCTGAAAATCCACTTAGCGTAAACGTTTTGACATATAACTAGCCATCATTACGAATCGGTGACTGAGAGCACCCATTCCGGTCAATCAGCGCTCGTCGTCGCGCTCGTTTTCTTATCGAATAAGTACGTCAGCATGAATTTCTGCGATTCTATTCATCTTAGAGCACTGAACTGTGAGCAAATTTTTCGGGACGAGTTGCTCGCTTCCGTTCCAAAAAAACTTGTCGCTGTCGATTAGCCGAGGCAATTCGAAAAGTCACACCAACAAAGGGAGAAAACTATTGCTGCAGCGCTTCACGTCGGGCAAAAGCGGTTAGACTATACGTCGTTTTTGAGGGAATTTGTGCAGCTGCACACTAAGCGCGGCATTCCACGACTTCTGTGCTTGAAACTTGTGTTTTTCAACAGCTTTGATTAGAATTCTTCGCTTTTTGGGCACAGAAAAGTTTCAGCAGCTGGAAAATAACAGTCTTACAGCATTCGCTCCATTAGAACGTTTTTAGTTACAGTTCTCTTGTGAGATGTCGTGAAAAATCGCGCGCGGTGTGCAATTCACACATTAACGTGCAAGCGACTAGAGTATAGATGCTCCCAATTACAAAGCTCTTCAACCCTAATGGATTAGGTTCTGACCCAAACAACTCTATCGATTAGTCCCACAAATCGTTTTTGTCACTGCCGACACTGTGCAAATACGGTAAATCCCTTCCCGTACATGAGTCGGTAGCACTTTTATGCGACACAGTAATCCGTCGCAGCTGACGGTAGCGATAATGAACAAAGGTCGGATTATTGATTTACTGCTGCCTCATTAAAGTTACCGTAGGTACGGGATCACATTGGGGGGGGGGGATATAAAGAATAGTTCAGTTGAAAATTTCAAGCAATGGAAATAATAATGCCTACGTCGAGTTCAGCGTGTATTCATGATGCACCTATGGGCAATAAAATAATTGATTGATTACCTAATTAATTAATCAAATAATAAATAAATAAATAGGAAGGTGATATATGGCTTTTTGGAGGCAAAGGGCAGATTTTCTGACCTCAAAATATTTCAGCTATTTCAACCCCATATAGAACTCATTCTACATAGTTATACCACTGCTCTTTCATTTTTGTATTCACCCCTGTTTTTTCCTTGAAACAGTCAAACTGAGTCTTTTGAGTCTTTTACAATCAAACGTATTGAATATCTAAAGAATGAATTTGCACATGAAATACCGTAACAAAATTCGTTCTATAATATTTTCCCACCGATTCTGAGAAATTTTCTTGCTGGATTTGGAGGGATGAGTTCGCAACAATTCTGATCACGGAGGTTAGTCTGTCTCAAAACTGAGGAAAATTTTTAGTCCCTAAATGTCATTATAGTTCCAGGATTTTAAAGAACTTTGAAAAGTGGTTCTTCCTAGGGAGTTGAATTATTTCTTTGATTTTCTGTCCAGTATCATTCTTCAAATATCTGCGTATTTGATCTGACAATCCTTACATTTTGAAGAGAACTTTTAAGATGTCCAAGAAACATTTTAGAGAAAAAGCTCATCTGGTGATTTTCACGTAAGCTGTGTAAGAACAGAGCACGTTACATCCTAAATCCATCACTATTAGATCATACAGACTCTCTATGATCCATCAACGTGTAGCAGAGTGTAACAAGAAAACAGAGTCTACTGTTTGTCCACAGCTACTTCTGTCGATTTGCTCACCAAATGCTCATTACAGCTGGCCAGCTGTGCTCAAGCAACAGATAAGGCGCAAAGATTGATTACGATCCGCCAATCGGCAGGGAGTAAACATGCCATAATGGGGAAGATTTACACTCGGATTGGTTTCGGAAATTTATATGGGAGTTATCGGGGCGATTTTGGAATTTTCTAGAGTTGAGAGATTCAGGAAAATTATATCCGAGTCCTCGGATGATTATAGGAACCTGTATGGCAGTACTCGGGACAGTTTTAGGAGTCTTTGGAATGATTGGGAATTTATATGAGAACTGGGATAATCTTTAGAACTGTGGAAGTCTGGGTGATTTTGAGGATTGTATGAGAATTTTTTAGACAGTTATGAAGGTTTTTATTGGGACTCCTATTAGAACCTATGTGCAAGTATTTGGGACAATTTTGAGGAATCATGTGGGACTCCTCAGTCTATCAATCCTCGTTCTACAATCTTGGAATTTTATAGAATTCTCGGAACTGTTGTGGGGACGGGAATCGTCGGGACGATTTTGGGATTTTGTATGGCAGATCTCTACACGGTCGTCGAATTTATTTGAGAGTTTTTGGGACGATTGTGGGAAGTCTATAAGAAAGTCTTTAATTTTGGAAATTTGTATGAGGACTTGGAAATGATGTTGGAAATCTATATTGGAGTCCTCACCGCGGTTGTGAGGAGATGTATAGGGTGTCTTCAGGACGATTGTGAGACTTATATGGGAGTTTTCTATTCTGGGAATTTATATGGAATTTTCGAGATGATTTTGGAAATCTATTGAAGAGTCCTCCAAAAGGTTGTGGGGGATCTGTAGGGAGCCTTCGGGATTCTTTGGGGTACGATTTCGGGAATATCTGTGAGAGTCCTTGGCACAGGTGCGGAATTGTAGGGGGTCCTCGGAATGATTATGGGCCTCATGCAGGACCATTTTGAGTGTCCCTCAAAAATCTTGAGAACTTCGATGGATATACCAGAAACCTTTTTTCTGCATAAATCGAAACAACTGCTTCTAAAGATTTTTTCAAAGTTTTTCCACAACTCCCACTCTGCAACCTTTGCTCATTTTTCTGCAATAAATCCAAGCTTAAATGTACGCTATAAAGAACACATGTTGTGGATGTTATGAGTCTCTTTGGAGGGGAAATTAATGACCCCCGCAGCGCGACGTGCGCCAAACCAAACATACGCCAAGCAGCCGCATGTGATCACGATTTGTTCAAGGAATGCTCTCGGATGTGAGGACTTGATTACGTTCAGCTGGATCTGGGAACATTATAGCTGGGGAAGGGTGGCCAGGGGGGGGGGGGGAATTTGCGCAAAAAATCGCTTTATGGGGGGAGGACTGTAGAGGTTGAAATAAAAGTGGGACACAAAAAATATTCTCTCAGTTTCAAAGATTTCGTCTAACCTTCATTTTAGCTCTTCTAAAATTTTCGATTTTCTTCAAATAAACTGAACGAAATGAAACTCAATGTGGCACTGATAGTCGTTTATATACGTACAATTTTGACAATTTTCGAATTAACCTTTTTTTGAACCAAGTGAGTTAAAGTATGTATCACATTTTTAAGACAACTGTATAATTATTGCCAGCATTTTGCTTTTCATAAAAGACTTTAATGGTCTTCAAGCAGATTATCGGCTGATTCAGAATTAGCTTTTGTAAATTAGCTTCCGTCTAATATGACCTGATTGTAGAAGTGGAAAATTACCTGTGCTTCGAAAAATAGAGGGTAATTATAAGAAAACCGCTGCCTGCTTGACCCATATAGAGAAAGAATAACGAATGAGCTAAAATACTCGAAAAGGGATGCATTTGAAAAAAAATTTGGAAGCTATACTGTGTTGGTTTTTTTCTTTTCTGAATTTAGTTAGGAGTCTAAAAGATCTAATGCTGTTAATGTTTTCATTTTCGAGAAAAATGTGGGGTACGGTTCCAAGGGATTCGAGGACTAAGTGAAATTTGCAGAAATTGCAGGACTTTATTTTTTAGAACAATTTGAAATGTTCAAACTTCAAAGTAGAGGAGTGCTGGACAAAAACTTGATTTTATGAATGAGCCGTATCAGCCAAATTTACCACAAAAGATTTTTGTTCCTTTCATTTTATATTTTTACTTTCATTATATTACTACCATTTCTTTTCACGCAATGATATGTTTATTGAAAAATATAAATATTGACTATAAGGTCATTCCTAAGCAACAACCTCACACTCAACCAGTAGCCAAGAGCATACGTGCTTACTGTGGCGCAATTATATCGCAATCCTCTCATGCATTTCTGTTTACTTTTGCCAATGAGATCGGATTTGTGCCTGACTATAGTGGCACTCAATCCTCTGACCAAGAGGATCTATTTGTTCTTAGCATATCGCTTACGTACCATCATACGTATGCAATCGATCCTCAGCATGTAGGGGAGCACTTTCGGTAGCAATAGGGCACACTTGAAGTTGGAGGGGGAGCAGTTTGTGAATTCGTGCCTTTTAGTAAATTGCTGGCAAAATGCCAACGGCAAAAATATCCATTAAAGTTATTTACTTATAAAATTATGACGGCCCCCAAAAGGCAGTGTGAGTTTGAGCCGCAAAGAGTAAGATGAGTATAATTACCTGTCAGAACATCAGAGATAAGTATCGCACTTATGGTTAGTAATTTAGTTTGGCGGGTGATCTCTAAGGGTTAACACTTCCATGGGACCAAAATGTCAGGTTTCTGACACTATCTGACATCAGATTGCTATCACATAGGGCTGAAATCGTGGGGAATGGAACCTGGAAAACCGGGGTGAAAAAGTGAATAATCAAGCCTTTCTAGGATACCCTAAATATTACAAGAATTAGAAGAATAGTACTTCATGATCAGGTTACTTATCATCTCCGAATCCTCTCCCATGGAAAAAAATCTGCAAGATTTTTTGGAGACACATTGTCTGCAAGAAAGAAATGCACTTTATTTCATAAATTTCATCAACATTCAAATATTTCACGAGATCACAAACGTTTCAAAATTCAAATTCTGTAATTACAGTAATCCCCTGTGGAACTTTGATCCTTTGAGAGAGCAGCACTGTTCTATAATTATTTACAGCCTTATAGCCTCTCTACATTTGCCGCATGTTTTTAGCCTAAGGCTTGATTGCCAAAGGGATTACGGTAATTTATGGCACCCTGCCGAGTGTATTTACGTACAGAACAGTGCTGCCGACATTTTTAATGACGTGTAAATCTGCCGAAAAGGATTGGCTTTTTCGATATAGTTGGGCAAATATCAGCTTTCACTGGATAAAATATAGCATAAATAATAATAAAAATGGAAAAAGTCGAAATAAATTTTAAAAATAGATAAAAATCTTACGCTACTTTAGTCCTTACAAGTATTAACTGGTCGAAATGTATAAGCAAAGTGCTCGAGCCATGTTGAGACTATATTTTTTTCCAAAATTCGATTGCAAAGTAGTAATGTTGTATCGATTTAAGAATACAAACTGTAAAGAACCAAAATTTGCAGTAATGTCGTTTTACCTACATCCTGCAAAGAAAAATGTGTCAATTTGTAGTTCTATCAGCTCAAAAATAACAATTCAATGAGTACATTTTAGGCTAGAACGATACGTTTCCATTGGTGATGCGATGGACATAATTTGTCCGTACTACGATCAAAATGATGTGGAATTTACAGACACTGAACAGAGCATCATCTATAGGGTTAGCTACAAGAAATTTCACAATTTATCGATTAAAAAAATTCATTGTGTTATTTTAGGTTTCCGAGTCTGACTACGAAACTTGCACCCTTTCGACGGCAGCACGAGAACTGGGCCGATGCATTTCACCATTGAGACGAGACAAGGTCAAAGTTTCCTTCCGGCTACTTAGCCCCAATCCATCGGCTTTAGATTATCGTCCCGGGCATACATATTACTTTATAAGTAAGTCTTCCTTTACGCCGAAGCCTGAAAGAAACGTATCCTGAGACTTACCGTAATCTGTTTAGCCACCTCAACCGGAACTCCATGGGGTTTAGACAACAGAAAAGGTGGTCTGTGCTCTACGCATCAACTAAAAATGATTATTCATGTTGGAGACTATGGTTTGTGCTTTGCGCTTTAGATTTTTTTTGGCTGTTTTGTAATTATTCAATTTCAGGTCATCATCATCATCGACATCATAAACCTACAACAACTACAGCTCAGCCACCAGCACAAAATGACTTAGATTGGCCAGCTGATCCTCTATGGACTAATCTTATCCAAAAGGTAATTTTCGCATGTAATATGGATCAAATAAAGCAGGCGAAGGTTGTTAGCGAAAACGCAGAAGATTATTAGTGAGAATGCACATCGCGTGCTGCACCTCACGACAATCTCGCAAAAATCGCAGAAAGACGGTGCAAATGAAAAGCCTGAAAATGTTTATTTGTGGTTGCTTTTATTTACGCTCTAGAAGAACAGAGAAAGAAAAATGGATAGAAACTGGCAAATAATAAGCGCATAAGTTGTACAATAAGGCGCGAGTTGTGTAATTACAACTTCAGTGAAATCACTTGAGTGTTCAAGTGAATCGATGTTTTGCTATCACGATTTTACTGGGTTTGTTCGAATCTGTAAAAGAAATCTGTGCTTAGGCTAACAATTGTACAGGTTCACCTGTTGAAAATAAGAAAAAATTTCGAAGATATATGATTCTGTAAAAATTTTGAAAAGATAGGTGAAGGGGTTGGAGATTTACTGCATCTAGCTTGCTTGTTATACTTAATTATCCTCTGTCCTTCATTTCCATGCATTTCTACAAAAAATTATCCACCAGGTTAGTGTTATCAATTCTTATAACTTCTCAGGTGGAAGCAGTGGGTAACACAATTTTGTCGACCGTAACCCGAGGCGAACGAGTAACACTAGATGTTGGCAATGAAAGACACGAATACGAATCGGTACCCTTGGACGAGCTCGACTTCCAGATACACGAAATTGGAGACGGTAGGTTTTAACAAAACTATTTCGGGTAGCCCTCCCCCTTTTTCTTAGTCACAGCTTGCAATAAAATGATATTTTTTCCAGTTGAAAGCCTCTTCATGTCGTCTGCTTCTTCTCTGTCACTTTGGATCCTCCTACTGATAGCTGTTGCGCATCTTCTGAGGGAGTGATTCAAGAGAGGAAGAAAAAATACCTCGGCTTCGACGGGTCACTACGGGTATCAATCGGAACGACTCAAAGCCAGCTGTTTCCGGACCTCAACTTCACCGAAATCTGTGATAATTTCTATAATTTGTAGTGTACAGCATAATAATAAATTTCCAATAATAAATATGTTGAACAGATGTCCGAGAAAACAGCTATTCGCTGTGCAGAAGAATGTGTCTAGTGCAACTTGAACTCTACGCACTATAGATTGACTGAAAACTACAAAATCAAGATCGCTTTTTTACTTGGCAGAAATTACTGTTATCTCAGCGCAGATAAGAAGCAATGTTTTTTTTGTAACGAATAATGAAAAAATTACATCGATTTTTGACAGATCCCCTGTTCATCACAGATAAGGAGCAACTGCGAACCACCATTGTTTAACGCGCCTTGCGCAGTCATCAATCATAGCTGACCGGCACACTTCAAAGCTGACAACGATTGACTTATTAACAAAGTAACATGTGCGGTAGATGAGTCCTGGCACGACGCCGCGCATCAAGATTAGGTGAAATTGGTGGTCCGACAACCTGGGAAAGCGGGTAATTTTCTTCAGAGTTGAATAAAGCTGGTGCGATGCATGTGACTCTGCGAATAGATTATCACAAAAAAACTAGGTTTGAATTTCAATGATTTATTTTGTGTACATATTTCATAAGCAGTGTTTTTTGAATATGATTACCTGTGGCCGTATTCATCAACGAACCCCGAGGGTTAAACTAACCCTGGAGGGCTAGTTTAACCCTGGAAAGCCTTTAACCCGTATTCATGAAACACAGGGTAGGCTTAACCCTGAGGGTTAAATCTAACCTTGAGGGTTAATTTTAATACAAAATCGACTAACCCGTATTCATCAACGAACCGTGAGGGTTTAACTAACCCTGGAGGGTTAAACTTACGTGATTCATCAGGGTTGATTTAACCCTAGCTCAGAGCAAGGTTAACTCTGCCCTAACACTTCATACAAACATTTACTCGCATCTAACAGTTTATGGAAAACGATCAACGAGTATTGCAGTATTTAATATTAATTGTTGTTATAGTATTTGAATTCGATATGAAACTCTGACTTTGCGAGAAAAAGAATTCCAGCTTTGGTGACAAATACGAGGAAAAATGGCATTCCACTCTGACAAATGCCAAAACAGATGAACCCCTTTATAATAACACCCATTGACCCCTAAAGAAGTAGCACGAGCCCGGTATGAAACGAACTGCGCAAAAGTAGAACTTACACTGCACAATTGCACACATGAAAATAAACTCACGCTGTAAGATTGGATGCTGCACAAGTATGCTAGAGATGTATTATGAAAACTAGTGTTAGAAGCTTATTCGTCGACTATACTACTATAACAGTGAAAGAATAGAAGTATAAAGTGAATTTAGCCCGTACTTAGGCATTCGTGAGTTTGCACAGCGCATGCGTAACTGACGCCTTAACCCTCCAGGGTTAGTTTAACCCTCAGGGTTGATGAATACGGCCACAGGTTCGTTGATCGATACGGGTAGATCGCGTTCCGTGGTAAACCCTAGCCTATGGTTGATGAATACGGCCAATGAATCCTGAGGGTTAAACTAACCCTGGAGGGTAAGCTTAACCCTCAGGGTTCGTTGATGAATACGGCCACTGGTTTCATGCGGATAGGTGACGAAGGCCCTATCCGCATGAAACCTATATTCAAAAAACTATCCCTATATTCAAAAAAACCATTTTCCATGCGGCAGCTCATATGATTCACTTACGGTCAAAACAATCAACTTTTCAAGTACAGTACTCCAAAATGCTCATTGTCTCCTCAGAATGCGTACGGTAATGGGCCATAGTCTATAGTTGAATTTTTCGGCAGCTGATGAACTGCAGTCTATGGGAAGTACGTTAAAGAACGAATTTTCTTACAGCAAATCAAGTGTTCAAAGCAACATAAGAAATCTAGGAAAAAGAAAAATATTAAGAAAAATATTGAAGCCATGTGTTCTCAGAGGAATTACGAGACTTAGGCACTAGACACCTAAAGAACCTTTTTATGTGTGCATATTTCGAAATTGAATTTTTATCGATATCGATATATGTATGCAAGTATAGACTGCTTCGCCATATCCATATCTACCATTTTTTTTGAAACACCCTGCAACTTTATTTGTTTTGTAGCAAAAGTGCTCCAAAATGAATTATCCTACCTTTAGCCAAACCGGAGTGACCAATCACTCCTAAGCGATTTTTGAGCGGCAACTCAAAGACCTTGGTGACTGATTCATCAAGAGTAGTAACATATGCGACAGATGAGCACTTACCATTGGCGAGCGATAAACGGGAGAAAGAAGGATACAAATTCTGTTTTTTCTGGTCTTGGGTACAAAACAAAAACTTTTAGCTAAAAACTTCGATAAAGTCGCATTAAGGGTTTACAAGAGGTCACCCTAGCAGATTTCCAGGAAACTTCAAACCTTACATCGCGTAGGATGGGAGCAACTGATCCTATGTTACTGAGCTTTATCAGCTTCATTTCACTTCTTTCAAATGATAATTTTTTTGGCTTTTACGGACTCGTTGTTGAAATTTTTTGCAGTCTGCTTTGACAGATTCAAGTGCGATAGTGCCCAAAGTTTTCCTCAACATAAAACGCAGATGTTCGGAACAATTTTTTAAGGAATATTCAAGAACACTTTGATCGCTGTTCTCGAAAACTTTTATGCTGCGCACATGTTTTCAAAAGTCTGGAGATAACGACTACTTGGCGCAATGCCAGAAATTCGCGGTTCTCACAAATTCGATGACGTCATTTCGCAAGATTGCACAACAGGCAGCAATCTCTCGATGTGCTATAAAGGACTTCAGCAGTGACAAAAATTTTTGAGTAATTCTGTAGGCTCGAGAAATGTCTTCTCCGTATATCTATGATTATAACGAGTAAGTTTTATCCGATTCTCTTATTTCTGTGACTTTTTTCGCAAAATTTTTGTCGCTAGGGTATCTCTAAGAAGAATTTATTTTATATTTGGCTGTAGGGCCTCCGTGAGCAGCGTTTTATGTCAGAGCGATTTATTTTATAAGGATAGAAGTTGGTATAAAATTCACAATGTCTTTCGATCATAAAACTCAAAATTATTTGATTTTCACTGGTTTTGGGACTTTGCAAGCTTAACAGCTAAATATTTGCCAACTTTGGCGGTTTAACAGATCATTCTGTCTTCCTTAGAGCGGAAGACTTCTTGCAAAAACCGCACTGTTCGAAGAGCTTTGATCATAAAACACCTAATGCTACTCGAGTGAAACGCGACTGGAGAAGAAATCCATATTTGGGCTACCAAATACATTTCGGGGTAAGAAAGCATGTCAAAAAAACCGGTAGGGTATTGTTAGGGTGTGTTATGACTGCTATTTATTGATTATTTGATTCAGAAACGCATCCATGAGGGTATATCACAGTTTGAAGAACCTTATGTCGAATATTCCTTGAATAAAAATAAACGATGGAATGAGGTAAGTAGTAAATTTTCTCGAAAACTTATAAGAAGCTGTTTGAATCAGTATACTTTGAATAAAACGATTTGTGATAATGTAAATTTTCCAGTTCTTCATTACCGTTTTCTCACATTCATAGAAGAATGACAATCTTCACAAATCGCTTTCTTTTTTCAATTTTTTAGAATGTTTTCTTTAGATCCAGGCGATAATCCAATCGGCCAAAGCGCAGAACAGCACCGCAATCGTGACACTCTCTACGCCAAAACGTGGGAATTTTTTAATTTATTGCAAATAGAGCTTTGTGGAAAAGAAGTGCTTCAACGCTTTTCAGGTGGTTGCAATTGGTGGGATACTGATGGTGGACTGATAGATGCGACTAAACTTGATGATCGTCTTGTATCGAGAGCCGCGCAAAAAGGAAAATCTAAAAATGTTGGTTCACCTGAAAATTAGGCCTAAATATTTTGAAAATCAATTTTAGATGACATTAGTATCGATATGCGGTCTAGATGGTAAACCTACACTGCATTTTAGCGTTGTTCGATGCTACAATGATACTCATTACGATTCACAATTACTAAAATGTAAGCCAAATTAGATCCAAAATTTTTTTTGCGAACTATTGTTTCAGACCGCAGACGACTTCAACATCAAAAACGCCGAAGCTATTGCAAGTACTTCAGAAGGCCATACATGGAAGAGGATTTAGTTTTGACCGAAAATGACTAAATGCACTTTACTACAAAATAAACATCAATTCTCTTGGCCTTGCGGATACAGTAAGACAATAAATTTGGCGATATCATGCTGTCACCACTATACACTCAATCCATCATTATGACAGTAACAGCTCTTGAAGATATACCGCCATCTCATCGATGCGCACGCCAGAATTATACAAAACCGATACCAGCAGATGCTACGAAGGCCATGTATGGATGAATAAGGTCCAATAGGGTTTGAGCAATTTTTAGAATCATATGGACGGGGAAATTCGCAAGTTAGGGCTAAATTTAATTTTTTTTTATTTAACAGAATGGTTCTGGCATGCACTGTCAGTCAGTGTTTTTGATTTGTGTAAAAAGTAGGCAGCATTTTGCAAATCGCAAAAAATAATTTTTCATTGTGTAGGCTCTGCTACTAATGGAACTGTTTCTCCATAATCTAACAATAATAACACACAGTGTCGGTGCAGCATCTTAATTTCGAAAAAAAGAAAAAAATACCTTAAGTAGAGCGTCAAATACGTTTGAAGGTAGATTAATTATTAATTTTATACCATTTAATCGATTTATAGGAATTCTTCTCAAATCTTTTCGCATGCCCAGATTGTTAACCCCACAACTTCAAAAAGATGGCATCTATTTGAAGATAAATATTCGTTTGCCTCGCCATACTTAGTTTTTTGAAATTTGCAGTATTAATTAGTGCAAATAAAACTGTGTCCTTATAAGACTTTGAATCCATGCTGAGCACTTTCAGAAGAAAGCTTGTCACCCGGAGAATTCATTTCGTATGTTCTAGCGTTAGATCATTAACAGATTGAATCATTGGAATATGCACATGCAAAATATTACTTCTCACTTGCTCCTATCTATCGCCTAATAAATAAATTCGGTCGGTTTTGAGGCTTTTACAAATGCTGCAGACAATCTCTTATTCGGTATTCGGTACCTCTGGAAAGAGCACTTCAATGAGAAATGGAGTATATGATTTTGAGTAAAATTTATTTTGAACTGAAAGAAATTTCGCATTTTTTGCTAAGAGCAGGGGGCATGAGACAGATCTAAGAGCAGGGGGCATGAGACAGATCTAAGAGCAGGGGGCATGAGACAGACTCCATTGAATCTCTATACCTGTGATGACTTCATATATGTCTAAACAAGCTCACTCCCTTTCCATTCCCAGAAAGGTTTTGCGGACTGGACTTGAACTGATTCAGTGGGGAGTTTGCCCTTTTGTTTTATTTTTTTTTGTTGTTGTTGGTTGTTGGGTGTGATGCTTCGTTCCTCTGTTGTATGGGCGCGCCTTGTGCGTATTAAATAGATAAATAAATAAATAAATAAATAAATCCGCAAAGAAGTGAGCAATCCCTGCTTTCTCATTGTGCGCAAATATGAGAGTAATTGGTTTTTTCGGTCAAAGAATTTCGAAATGGACGACATAATTTTTACTGATAGTCATTACGTAGGGAAAACTTGTCTGTATCCAAATCCCAAATTGCTGTTCTCTACATCCATTGGAGCATGAAAACGAAGCTTCGAAACTTGCAGAACTGAGCTTTTGGAATTTTAGCCAAGCTGGGGCATAACTGCTTACTGGTATTTTAAAACTCTGAATCTTATATATAAAGCTGAATGTCTTTTTGTATGTCTGTCTGTCTGTCTGTCTGTCTGTATGTCTGTGTGTACGTATGTTCCGAATAGAAAATTCCATTTCCGGACCTATCCGGAAACTTGGCACACATACACTTCGGGCCCCGGCGGGTGTCATAGGCACTTTTCGTCATCGATCGATATCGATTTTATCGATTTTTTGCAAAATTTGAGCTCCGGGGCTGGGAGTTGGCACAGGGGGGTAATGCTGATTACGAATATAATAATGACAGGGCCGGGCGGAGCCGGGTAAGTCAACTAGTAGTTTATATATAATAGAAGAAGCTTCGAACTATTTACCTGTTAAGAAATCCCGGATGAAGAACCACTAGGAAAATTTTTATAGAGATTTCCATGCCGACATTATTCTTCAGCCAACTTGATAAAACTTACTACTAAACAAAATTTACATTTACGCCTATCCTCCGGGCCCTTTAGGCCAGAGAATTGTCTCACATCTTGTTGTATGGTTTGTTGCTTATAGATTCTCATTGGCCCTTACATGGCTTCACATCTATTTTGATCGCGTAACTTACAAGTTTTAGTTTCCCCAATAAAGGATCCTTTGACCGGAACCGATTAAACATCATGCGCGCTAACGACGCGAGCAGCGCGATGACTCGGCTTTTGTCTTTACTAGGCGCTAAAAAAGTGCATTGCATGGCGCCTATCTTACCGCGATGCGGACATTTACGCTAAGAACAATAACACTTACCATCTACTCTTCGGTCGACGAAATTACGCGGAAATAACAAAATTCGAAAGTACTTGAAGGGCTGGAATTAAGGAGTTACGAAAACTAAATTTTCACAAAGAGCCACCTGCTCGTTTTCAATCTTGATATATAGCGAGAATCCAACGTTTCGGATTTTTAGAAAACGTATTAGGTGGGTGCAAAAGTAATGAGCGTCTTTCCAGGCCTTCATCAAAGAGAACTTTTTCCTTAAACCTCCTTCTTTAACATATATTTGGCATACCTTTGAGAAGCTCTTTTCATGCTCTGTCTAATGGTAGTTCGAGCAAGCTTCTAGCCTCATTTGATAAAAATTCACTGAGCTTTACATAACTGCCCTCAACGGGTTTTATTGCAATTGGCTTTTCTGGCCAGAATTTATGCGCGAATGATGGCATTTACTCGAAAATTCAGCTATTGCATGTGATAGAAATTGTCTGCGTTATGCACATTTGAACTTATTTTTTGAGACCATCTAAGCTGAGATATCGGCGCCTCAACATAGTACTCTGTATTCTATGAATTTATAATCAAGATGGCAGACGTTGAACTTCGATAATTTCTGTAAAAGTGAGGAAAGGGCCTCCTTTTTATACTTTTCTGCAAAAATGTTAAGCTGTTCAGTACGTAGAAAATCAAAAAAAAACTACGTGATTTGGGGATTAGGCTTACAAAAATGTTGAAAAGTGACAATTTCCTTTTTTATTGCTATCTCTTGATACAAAAAATACCAAAAAAGTACCCCGGCCATCAAACAGAAGTACTGCTTTGATCAGTAGGGTACAATGTACGAGTTTTGGAAAAAAAACCGTGAGTGTTCGAATACTTAGCAGCTATGTTTTGTAAGGAAAGAGGGAGGGAGTTGTTGCTAACGCGGTTTATGTCGTTCTAATTTCTTCGGAACTCTGTTGAAATGATTTTTGAAAATTTGATGCTCATTCTGTCCCTATTACAAATCCATTTTGCTTCTGCACTCCCCTCATTTCCCCTTCAGCACCACCAGTCCTTATACAGCATCTTGTTTTGTGCGCGCGATAAGCCTTATGGTCCGGAAAAAGCGGGTCAGTCTCAAAATGTGATTAGCGCGTTTTGCGAGCACATATTGCGCTCGGACATTGTTCCGATCAGTATTGTTTGCGAACAGCGCATACAGAAATGCTATGCTTCGGTCTTATTGGGGTCAGAGTTGATGAATCGGCAAGCTCCCGGACTATATAGGGGATCATCAAACGTTGAGAGCAAAAAGCAAATCCCCTATGCTTGCTTTCGATTCAAAACTAATGGGGACCTCCTATTCCGGCACACCTCATTAGCATAAGCCGACCTGTCGATCCTCAATTGAACTCAGCCCCACCTTGACGGGGTGAAAGGAGCCGACCCCCCACCGTAATTATCATCACGCTTTGATTGTCGCACTCTCTTATTCAACCGGTGCCGCTTTAGAGCTGATGAACATATTCGGCTGCTATGGGGGTATTTAAGGATTTTGTGAGGTACCGTAATTAGTATTTACGGTAAGCAGTTGAACTATCAAAGCTCCATTATTAGTGATAAGCATAGACCAGTGCTTAAAGACCGTTCAGTGGAACACTTTGATGAGAAAAGGGTCAGAACATAGCTTGGTACATATCAATAAATGGGATGTAGATGATGAACCAAAATAAAAAAAGCAAATTTCCCAATAAATCCTGATCACATTGAGGTAACTTTCTTTCACCTTTTGAAAGGAAGAAGATTATGTATGTTAATAAAGAGGCTGTATTAGCAATGATACAAGAGCATTTTTCAGGCTTTGATGATGGTTCCCTATCAAACTGACCTAACTATAGTAATTGTATTGAAAACTCTACCTAGTAATCAACCATTTTTCTTACAATAATTCAAACTCGTATATTTTTGAAAAAATTGAGAAGTGCAAGAATAACAGCTACGGTTAGTAATTTGGTCTTTATATAGAAGCTATCTCATATGATTTATTCGTGACCAAAATTTCAGCACAAAATTTTGCCCAGACCGTACTCTTTATTGTATGCGAGCGCGGTGATTGGTCCATTTGTAAAGGTGCGTCGGTGTGGAGAGTTTAGAATCGCAGCTACTGGGTGGGTAAAGCATATAAGTTTATTTTAAAAAAAATTACAACCACTTAGCAATTTTTATAATTCCATCTGAATTCTAGCCCAGACAATAATTTTACTGAAATTTCAAATTCAAATTCAAGCTCCTCGAGTGTATCATCGGGAGTTCCGTCTAAAAAATGAATTTGCTAAGATTTCTAAATTGAAAGCAGCGTGGAAACTGCTTCCAAATATGACCTGTGCTGAAAATTTCGAGGACTGTGTGATAGAACTCAGATATGTTAAGTATTTTCCGATGATTTGAACTGCAAAAAATCTCCGAATAATGAGTTGAATTTTCTCCCCAAACTTTACTCAGCTTGATGTGACGCGATACGAAGTTCCCGCTATACTATAAATCAGAGAGCTTCATCCCTCTGATCTATGGCTTTTAGTATCCACAACTCACTTCTTGCAGAGTGAATCTCGCGTTTCACTTACTGAACTGGGCAATTAGCACGACACTCGATATCGCGTGCTCATAATTGGACACTGGGCAATTAAGGA